ATCAAATTTTTTTAGATCTAGAGCTGCCTTTTTATAAAATTAAGAGCAGGATGAAACAGGTTTTGTTTCTACACTGTGCATATACCTTTGCATATATATGGCATATCCATGGCTCACAATTAGAAAGAAAATTTTAAGATACGACCTTAAATAGTGAATTCTAATCCCTGTCAATTTGTTTTCTAACGTCTCCTTTATAGGCCTAGAGCTTCAAAAGTACATAGAATGCTTATATGAAATGTCTAGAAGGTTCTCTTTGGGATGCCTTCTTTCTGGTTCTCCCCCCCCCCCGCCCCATACACATACAACATTGAGATTTGAACTCAAAGCCTAGTATTTACTAGGAAGGCACTCTACTACTTGAGCCACTTCTACTTCCACAGCCCTATTTTTACTTTTGTGGGGAGTTGGGGGGTGTTTTTACTTGGGACCAGTTTCAAACACTCTACAGGTTTCTGTATCTAGAGCAGCTGATGTTATAGGGGTAATCCCAGAGTACCTGATGCAAAGCCATCTTCTATTTTACCTTATAACTTAATGGTTTCATATTACTCCTGTTGAACTGTCATTGCTGTTAAGTGAAAAGAAAGAAATTCTCTTCAGTATGCAAATGATAATATTTTATTTTCATAAATCAGGAATGACCTTTATAGACAGCTAGCCTTGCTATCTAATTATTGCCAAGATAAAAAAAAAAGAGCTGGAGAGCCATGATTTGCAGAGACTTCATTAACATTTAACTGGCTTATACTTTTCAACTACAATAAAAAGTGAATGTGTTCGGTGATTCAGTCACATTTTGCAGCTGTGTTATCTTGGGATCTACCAGAACCAGGCTAGATGGTGTATGGAACTGTATCAACATGTTTTTCATTGTTTGAGTGGATATTACATTATACTTTTTAAAAAAACTTTCAGGAAAAATTGTTGCATCCAGATTCTGCATAGAATTATGAGGATTTCATTGTGCATTTGTAAAGGAAGCATTTATTAGGTATACCCACTCTAGGGAATACCCATGTAACTTAGATGCAGTATTGCTTTTGAACAGAATTCCTCTGCTGCCCATGAGCTTCCAGATATATGTCCATAAAATATTCATATTTTATGAAAAATACCTGGGGGTGTTTGACTTGTACATATTGCTGCTACTTAAAGCTACTTGGAAAGCCAGAAGCTTAATAGTTCTCTCTTTAATTGGTTGTTTCAGAACTGACATCATTTCCTTAAAGCTCATCCTTATTTTAGCTCAATAAACCACATTTACTATCTTAATAAGTCCCCAACTTATTTTAGTTCTGTAAGCCATCTTTCCTGTCTTGGGGGGGGCTCACTAATAAAGATGATTATGCAGGGGGAATATATTCTAGGCCATCAGAAATTCATAGTACAATCAACTCACTTTGGAGGGGCTTGATATCATACTGGGTACAGAAAGAGCCATATTAGACATTTTATGTTTCCTTTCAAGTGATAAAAACAGCTCTGTGAAATGAGAAAATGATATCCTTGTGTTGGCATTGTATGGGTCTTTGGGGGTTGCTGTCAGCCACACATGTTCTTGCCTGGGTACCTGTGTGTGTTTTCAGTGCCAGCAGTCATTTTGTAAATCTAGTCATGCACCAGCCTGGCCTGGCTTATGAGGCTGCCCCAAATGCTTGCTGTTTAAGCCGATGCTACAGGGCTTCATCAGCATGCTGTGTGTGTCTCCCCTGGGGGGCCAGTTCTGTCAAAATTGATTATTATTTTATTCATTTTTACTGTTATTTGTGCCACTGCTGTTTAGGCTTATCCCTTCAGTGCTGAAACTGTTCTCTACCTTTAAAATAGAGTTTGCATCCAAGGAAAAAATTCTCATAAATGTTTGCACACAGTTCTGACATTTCTTACCCCATATTGGAAAGCCATTAGCATTATAAACTCAATAAATCCACCTTGCTCCCATACTTGTTGAAAATTCAGTAAGAGGGAGATATAAATGACCATTTGTTGTCAAGGTGAAACGTTGAATTTAATCCTGTATCTTTTATAATGAGATTTCTTTTCCCTGGGGAAAATTTAATTGTGACCAGAATGGTTCAAAGTATTCCAGAAGATAGTGCACTGATTTTGGGCCTGTAACTAGAATTGGTTAGCAAGACAGAGGCAGAAAGCTGAGAAAGACTACTTAGAATAGCCTAGAGTTCCTTGTCTCTCTCTTGATGACCATTTATTGGCATGTAGAGACAAATGTAGACAGCCCCTCACGAAATTGGCAGATACAAGTTTTCCAAAGGTTTGGGGCCAGAAATACTTCGAATTTTGAAATTGTTTTTATAATGAAATATATATATATATATATTAAATTTGAGATTGTGGGGATTTTATTAATGTCTAAATAAATATAATTCATTTGTATCATGTATTCCTTCTACATACAGCCTGAATGAATATCGATGCAGTGTTTTAGTGTTTGTACATTTTGATCTTGACCCATCAACATGAGGGAGGGTGTAGAATTTTCCATGTGTCATATTGGAGATGTTTAAGAAGTTTAAGATGTGAGAGTCTTTGGGATTTTGCCTTTTCTGATTAGGAATATTTGTTCAATCTGAAACATGAATCTAGTAAGATGGCTAATACCTGAATAGCAAGGTCAGGATTCCACAAGCTCTCCACAGGCCAGAGTATACCCTGAGAGCAACAAGATGGATTTAGTAGGGAAAAGTGGACAATAAAGGAGAAACTGCTAGAGAGTAGTGCTATAGAAATGGTGGATGGACCTCATACTCTCAGCAGTTTCCTGGGCTGTCAGTAGAGCAAGAGGTCAAGGCTAGGGCCTACATTATTTCTGAGTCCAGTGCTGAGTGCTATTCTTTGGGACCAGTGAGAACACCTGCCAGTAAGTGATGGGTCATAAATGTTCTAGTAGGTGGGATTGAAGAGAGAACAGGATGTTTTATCTTGAGAAGTGAAGACTTAAGAGCATGATAGTCCTCCTGTGTAGGAGCAGAGAGGTTCACTGTTACCAAAGTGAATAGAGATAAGATAAATGGGTATACATCTCTAGAAGTCAAGCATGAGACTCCCCCTCACCTCCAAATGGCTAGAAATCTTTAATTTTATTGTCAAGGTGATGTACTGAGGGGTTACAGTTATATAAGTAAGGTAGTGATTACATTTCTTGTCTAACTTGTTACTCCTTCCCTCATTTTCTTGTCTAACTTGTTACTCCTTCCCTCATTTTTCTCCCTCTTTCCCCACCCTCCTCCATGTTGTACAGATAATTTCCAGCATATTGTCTTGTGTATATCGCTGTTGCATTAGTTGCCCATTTGTCCTTTGTCTCACCATTTTGTATATACGTTTATCTGAAGCACAGAAGGGAAGGGAAATCATGAGACATCTTAAGGGGAATTTTTTACATGGTAGGTGTACTTTACAAAGTTCTGACTTTAATCCCTTATCTTATCTGTTAGGAACCTGACTGGCTCTCTGGGAGAATGTAGGGTTGAGTTACACTTTTGACTTCTGATATCTGTGTTCCTTTTGGTAATACACACCCATTAGTTTCATCATACATTGAATGTATAGTATTAAATATTCTTAGTTTGTAGAATTATTTTTGTTGTTTATTGTTTATGATACTTAAATTTGAATTCAAGGCCTTGAACTTGCTAGACAGGCACTCTAATTGAGCCACATCCCTAATCTTTTTGCATTTATTTTCTTTTTGTGATATAGGGGTCTTAACAGCTTTGTCTAGGCTAGTTTCAAAATATGATCTTACTGTCTCTTCCTTCTGAGTGAATCTGGGATTACAGGCCTATGCTGCCATACCTGACTTTATTATTACTATTATTATTATCATTATTATTAGAGATTAAAGTCTTGCTCTAAAGATCATGCGGGCCTGCACGGTGCTATCTGCCCCAAGGTGGACCTCAACTCACAATCTTCCTGCATTGAGAGTTTAGACACATCTCATAAGATTTGCATTCATGTTTTCTTGACATCGATGCTACTTCTCTTTTTTGACAAGCAATCACAATTAATATATTGACTTATTATAATTAACATATTAGGTGTTGGGTTATACAGTAAATATCCATTATGTAATGGGTGGCTTATTTTCATAATCATTATTATGATCAATATAGTCATGTACTTTATCCATGGGAAATATTTGGCAAAAGATTTGATACCATGATCATTCAAACTCAAAGACATTTAAGACACTGTAGGGTGGAACCTGAAATCATCATTTGCTGTATGCTGTTGATGCTGTAACAGCTGAACTTTTATGCATATTCTGCATTTTCTATTATTTGTTGTTCCTTTATTTAAGTAGTTTATTTCTAGTACCAGAATTAAGCAGATGTTTGCCACATGTTTAATCTTGAAATTATTATTGCATTTAAAACATATAGACTATAAAATAAGTGTATAATCTTTTTTTAATTTTGAGACCTCAAGTTTCCAAAATCATAAAGTGAAACCTGTTCTATGTTAGATTTAGTACTGTCCTTTGAAAATGGTTTGTAAACTTTAACTATCTGTAGTTTGTATTGTGTCTTTTCTTTCTCTGACATTGTGCCATTTTTGTTGTGGAAGCATTTTCTTTTTTTGACAAATTATGCTGTGTTTTTTCTTATTGAAAGCATATTGAATACTTAAGGATGTTCTATTACAGTTTTGGATGCAAGATGAATTTTCTCAATTCCTATACATCTGGAAAATGCAGTTTTAAATTTGAGTATGTCCTACTTTCAGTTTTTTTCTATCACCATTGAATTCCTTTTGGAGAGGAAAATAACGTAACAGAAAGGACAAGGCATACTTTTGAGAGTTTACAATAATTAGCAAGAGTGCAATAAAGGTCAGATCTGAGCTTCCCATTCAAACAGGTCAAGCCAAATTTAATGTGATATCAAGCAAGTATGTGGCCTCCTGTAGTCACCACAGCTTATTCCCGAATCTGGCTGTTATTTACATTACTTTTTTATTCTTTCACATTATAGGTGGTTGTGTCTTTGATGAACCGTATAGCACATGTGGATACAGTCAATCTGAAGATGATGACTTCAATTGGGATCAAGTAAACACTTTGACCAAACCAACTTCTGATCCATGGATGCCATCAGGTTTGCTCTTAATTGTCAGGTTTTTTTAAACTAAAAGAGTCTTAAACAAGAGTCTTAAACATCCGGTGACTATTGGTCATGGGATATTGGTGAAAAGAAGAAGGGTTTTGGTCTTTGAGGGCAACAATTGATGGCTGTCAGCTAGTAAGAATGATTACAAAGGTGTGAACTTGGAATGTCCTCCTTAAAAGTCTAGTGATGATTTACTTTAGCTTTGGATAGATACACTTTAGGTAGACTAATGTCTTTATAAATTGGTCCTTCCAATTGATATGAAAAGTAGATGACTGTCTTTTCTGACTCATGGAGGGAACTGTTGTTGGAGAATGCAAATAATAAATCTGTCACATAGGAGATTTTGGAGGTGACTCCCTTTACTTAGCATGTGGGAAATCTGGGAGGATACCCAGTGATCTTGAAAGCCTTCAGAGATTCAATGGTGTTGCATAAATGTAGATGTAATTTCACCAAGCTCTTGAGAAGTGTTCCATTTGGTGCTGAGTAAGACATGTATTTTACTAAAGCCAGCAAGAATTTAACTATGATTTTGGATGGAAGAATAGGAAGATAGAGACTGGAAAATTGCAATCATACTTGAGCTTGTCTAGTTTTATTGGGCCTCCTTTTCTGGTTGTAACTTTGGACAACCCTTTAAAATTTTAGATTTACAGGTTCATTATAGTGATGGATTGATGATCATACCAATTTAGGATTCATAAGTGATCTTGCAAAGATAGCTTTGAAGCATGAAGTAGAGTTTAATGTAAATATAACTAACCTTTGTTGCCAACCATGTTCCTACTCTTCCCTTCCTACCTTAAACTCTTCATAATGTCAAATAAAGGAACATTGGGCTCTGGAGTACTATGGAGTTTTTTTTCTTCAGCTCTTTGTTCAGTTACCCACAGATTACATTTTCTTTTTCTTTTTTTAGTTTTTTTTTAATTGTTAAGATACCCCATAGAGGGGTTACAATTACATGGGCAAGGTATCGAGTACAATTATTATCAAGCATTGTTGCCACCTCGTTGTTTCCCCTTCCCATCCCTTCCCATTACCCAGTCCTGCCCGATCTTCCCCCCTCCCACCAAAGTTGTCAAGTTCTTTTTCGACATAACGACTCGTACATCTCATTGTCACAATGGGTCCACCTGTATCCCTAGTTAGACAATTTGTTTTTTCCCTTCCCCTCCACAAATTACACCAACATCAAATACAGTGAAAGCAGGGGTTATACCGTGGGGGAGGGACATACAAAGCACCATAGAAACTATCTTGTAAATATGCTAGAAACTATTGCATGAAAGAAAGAAAAACATTTGAATACTTATCTTGGGGTTCATTTCCCTAACATCAACTTATCTGACCTTTTCTGCTTGCCTCAGACAATTACTAGTTATTGCAAATAAGGGAAACCATGGGATTTATGTTCCTTTGGGCCTGGCTTACTTCACTTAATAGAATTTTTTCTAAGTCTTTCCATTGCCTAACAAATGGGGCAATGTCATTCTTTCTGATGGAGGCATAGAATTCCATTGTGTACATATACCACATTTTCTTGATCCATTCATCTACTGAGGGGCATCTGGGTTGGTTCCAGATCTTAGCTATGGTAAATAATACTGCAATAAACATAGTTGTGTTGATAGCTTTATTATGGTCTTGTTTGTGATCATTTTTTTGGGTAAATGCCCAAAAGTGGGATTGCTGGGTCATAGGGGAGCTCTATGTGGAGTCTGTTGAAGAACCTCCATACTGCTTTCCAAAGTGGTTGAAAAGTTTACACTCCCACCAACAATGTAGTAAGGTTCTCTTCTGTCCACATCCCCTCCAGCATCTGTTGTTATTAGAGTTCTTGATTATAGCTATTCTAACTGGGGTGAGGTGGTATCTCCATGTTGGTTTGATTTGCATTTCTTTTATGGCTAGAGAGGTTGAGCATTTCTACATGTGTCAACTGGACATCCTTCTTTCCTCTTCAGAGAAGTTTCTCTTTAAGTCTTTAGCTGACTTACTTATTGGGCAGTGGTTTCTTTGAAGATTTGTTGTTGGGGGATTTAATTTTTTGAGTTCCAGGTATATTTTAGATATGAGAGCCTTGTCCATTGTATGGCTAGTGAAGATCTTCTCCCAATCTGTGGGCTTTTTATTGATCTTACTAGCTATGTCCTTTGCCATGCAGAAGCTTTTCAATTTCATGCAATTCCATTTGTCCAACCTTTCTTTGATTTATTGTGTTTCTGGGTCTCTATTAAGAAAATTTTGGCCTATGCCTAGGGTTTCTCCTATTCCATCCTGTAATGTTTTCAGAGTGTCTGCTTTGAATCCGAGGTCTTTGATCCATTTGGAGTTGATTCTAGTGCAGGGTGATATATAAGGATCTAGCTTTAGTTTTCTACAAGTAGTTAACCAATTTTGCCAGCATCATTTACTGAAGAGGCTGTCTTTATTCCATTCTATTTTTTTAACACCCTTATCAAAGATTAGATGGCTATAGGTCTGTAGGTTCATTTCTGGGTTTTCAATTCTATTCCATTGGTTCTGAGATCTGTTCTTGTGCCAGTACCAAGCTGTTTTGATTACTATGGCTTTGTAGTAGAGTTTGAAATTTGGTATTGATAATCCTCCAGCACCGTTCTTTCTGTTAAGTATCGTTTTTGCTATTTGGGGTCTTTTATTGTTCCATATGAATTTTTGGATTGCCTCTTCTATGTCCTTGAAGAATGAGGTTGGAATGTTGATAGGTATTGCATTGAATTTGTAGATATCCTTGGGAAGGATTGCCATTTTCACGATGTTAATCTTTCCAATCCAGGAGCATGTGAATTTTTGCCACTTTCCAAGTTCTGCTTTGATTTCCGTTTTCAGGTTTTTAAAGTTTTCATCGTAGAGGTTCTTTACTTCTTTGGTTAAGTTAATTCCTAGGTATTTTATTTTTTGTGGGACTATTATGAATGGAGTTGCTTTCCTGATTTCAGCCATGCTTTTCTCATTGTTGGCATACAGAAATGCCATTGATTTTTGAGGGTTAATTTTATACCCTGCTACTTTGTCAAAGTTTTGAATCAGCTTGAGTAATTTGGGAGTGGAGTCCGTGGGATTTTTTAAATACAAGATCATTTCATCTACAAAGAGGAGAGTTTTACTTCTTTTTACCCTATTTGGGTCTCCTTCATGTTTGCATCTTGTCTTATTGCTATAGCTAGGCATTCTAATACTAGATTGAAGAGAAATGGACATCCTTGTCTCATTCCTGTGTTTAGAGGAAATGGCTTTAGTTTTTCACCATTGAGTATAATGCTGGGTGTAGGTTTGTCATAAACAGCCTTGATTGTATTGAGGAATATTCCCTGGATTCCTAAGTTTTCCAGAACCTTCATCATAAATGGGTGTTGGATCTTGTCAAATGCTTTTCTGCATTTATTGAAATAACCATGTGGTACTTATCCTTGCTCTTGTTGATGTGATGAATTATGTTAACTGATTTTCGTATATTGAACCAGCTTTGCATCCCTGAAATGAATCCTGTCTGATCGTGGTGTATGATTTTTTGGATGAATTGTTGAAGTCGATTGGCCAAAATTTTGTTGAGAAGTTTTGCATCGATGTTCATCAAAGAAATGGATCAATCATTCTCTTTCTTTGATAAGTCCTTGCCTGGTTTTGGGATGAGGGTTATGATGGCTTCATAGAATGATTTCGGTTGTGAACTTTGTCTTTCAATTTCATTGAAGATTTCGAGGAGTATTGGAGTGAGCTCTGCTTTGAAGGCTTTGTAGAATTCCACTGTAAAACCATCTGGTCCTGGGCTTTTCTTAGATGGGAGGTCTCTTAGTGCTGTTTTTATTTCAATGCTTGATATGGGCCTGTTAAGGTGGTTTAACTCATCTTGGTTTAGTTTTGGCATGTTGATATTTGCTAGGAAAAGGTCCATTTCTGCCAAGTTCTCAAACTTAATAGCATAAAGGTTTGAGAAGTATTCCATTACAATGTTCTGAATCTGCGTTGTTTCTGTGGTGAAGTTTCCCTTCTCATCTCTGAGTTTACCTATTTGGGTGTATTCTCTTCTTTTTTTCTGATTAGATTTGCTAAGGGTCTTTAAATTTTGTTAGTTTTTTTAAAGAACCAACTCTTTGTTTTATTGATTCTATGTTTTTTTTGGATTCTAATGCATTTAATTTTGATTATTTCTTTATGTCTGCTGGATTGGGGTTTATCTTGCTGCTCTTGTTCAAGGAGACTCAGATGTCTCATTAAATTGTTGGTTTCAGATCTCTCCAATTTGTTGATGTAGGAACTTAGAGCTATAAACTTTCCTCTGAGTACTGCCTTTGCTGTGTCCCAGAGTAGTTGATAGTTTGTGTGTTCATTTTTGTTGAATATCATGAACATTTGAATTTCCTTTCTAATCTCTTCCATGACCCACTGGTGGTTCAACAGTGTGTTGTTCAGCCTCCATGTGTTACTGGACTTTCTTTGGTGGCTTTTGGTGTTGAGTTCGAATTTTATTCCTTGTGGTCTGAGAAAATGTAAGGAATAACTTCAATGTTTCTGAATTTGGACAAGTTGGCTTTGTGACCTAATATGTGGTCTATTTTGGAAAATGTTCCATGTGCTGCTGAGATGAATGTGTATTCTGATGCTGCTGGGTGAAGTATTTGGTGATGTTGTTAAATCTAGTTGATCTATACAGTTGTTTATGTCTGTGGTTTATGTGTTGAGTTTTTGCTGACTTGATCTATCTAGTGGGGATAGTGTTGTGTTAAAATTCCCCAACAATTGGATCTATGTGAGATTTGGAAAAGTAGTGTTTCTTGGATAAATTTGGGTGCTCCATTGTTTGGCAAATAGAGATTTAGTATTGTAATATCCTCCTGAAGGAGAGATCCCTTAATTAGTATGTAGCATCCTTCTTTATCTCTTGTAACTAATTTTAATATGAAGTCTATTTTATCTGATATTTGTATTTCAATTCCTGCCTATTTATGGAGGCCGTTTGC